GACGGGTTTGGCTTGTCTTTGCCACATATATTTTATTTTATTTTATTTTTTTTTTTTTAATTATTTTTTACTAAAATCTGAAAATACATTTTTATTTTAATGAAACACACCAAAGCATTATTTGATGATTTAAAGAATTTACTATAAAAATCCTACATTACGTTTAAAGGTATAAAAAGAGTATGTGCTGAATTGTTAATTTCAGGGGAAATTCTCGGAGAAATCCCTCATTATTTTTTATTTAAGGAAGGTGCAGGAAGTTTGGATTTATTTCTGCCTCACCAAACACTAATAATAAGTATTATAGATTTCCTCATGACACATTTAAGTATTACAGAAACATAAGGCATAAGTGATCATTGTTCCATAAGCATTGTAAATGTTGTTATAATATTTTAAATTTCCCCCAGCTATTAAGCCTTCGTTTATACATTCTAAGGACATTACAGAAACATAAGGCATAAGTGATCATTGTTCCATAAGCATTGTAAATGTTGTTATAATATTTTAAATTTCCCCCAGCTATTAAGCCTTCGTTTATACATTCCAAGGACATTACGTCTGTGTCAGATGAGGTGAAAAAATTCTACCAACATTGTGCTGTGCAAACAGGTTAGTGTGATGGCGCTCTAACTAATAGTTGTTTTTTTTTTATCTTCCTGGTTAGATTGCTATTGTGTTCTGGTCTTAAGCCGGTTATAATTGTGATGCGGGTATTAGGATATTTAGTTAACTGATAAGCATCATATTTCTTTAATTTAAATATTGAATTTCTTACAATACATATTATGCACAACAAAAGAAAAATGTGACAAAGACAAGCCAAACCAGTCACTTGTCACAAAATTTAAATTTTAGTTATTAATATAGGGTTGAACAGTAAAATGAGAGCTATAAAATGGTAAAAGAATAATTTAGATCCGACATTTTGTTATGAAGTTAAAGGAGTTTAAACATACAGCTGCAAACATACAATATTTGCAAAATAAGCCTTCAAAGTTTATGATTTTGAGCATTTCCCAGGCAGAAGCCATCCCTAAATCATTAAAAATTGTTGTTTAAAGCATTGAAAGTGGGGGGAAAACAGCATAGTGCAATAAATAAGATTTTTAAAAGTTTGACATTTCCAGCTTGTTTTGGCCATTATCTCCAAGATAGGATTTGCGATGAGTGACTGGTTTGGCTTGTCTTTGCCACAAATATAAACATTTACATGAATGAATGAATTATAGACTGTTGCTATACTGCCATCTATTCAGTTGCTTGGCTATATTTTTTAAGCCTATCAATTTTTTTAGACTATCAAGCAACAAGTCAGCTTCAGCATTGATTGAAAAACAAAATATTCTTTTTCTAAACTTAAAATCTCATTTCCAAATATACAACTAATTTCACTTAGAATTACTAACAAATCAATTACAAATTATTTAAAAAAATTATGAAACTGCCCTCATATTTAGAATTAGTAATATTAAGTCTTTGCTGCAAAATATATAGAAAACAGTTTTTATTCATTTTCGCATTTACCTTTATATGCGAAGTGTGTTGGACAAAGTTATGTGCATATGTTTGTGTATATATGCTGTTATGTGCATATGTTTGTTGTTTATTTCTCAACATAGTCTTAGTAAAGACTGTTTTATAGCAATGATCTTACAGGGGTGACTATAGTAAGACCCTCTATGCAATAAAACTGGCTCTAACCAACCAGTATGAAGACCTTATAACAGTTCACCTCTTGCTTAACTGATTTGACTTAAATGGCCTAGCCAGTTTAACTGGCTTCACTAGGTTAATCAGACTGTAAATGTTTTGAGAATTTATATTCATATAATAACAGAGATTGTAGAGTGAATCTGTTGAGTGTTAAAAATGAAAACCTGTTCACCATTGAAGCAGCTAGGGAGGTAGATTGAAACATTAAATAGAGAAGACTTAACTTTTATGGCCATCTGATTTGATTACCTATGTCAAAACTATAAAAAGCAACCCTAGAAACAAATTAATTAAACAGTTATAAAAACGCCCAGGAATACCCAGAAACACATGGAATAACAACATTAAATAAGAAGAGAGCAGTAAAATCAAAGTGATTATTGTAAGCAAATAAAAGCTCACTTCCTGTATGCTCAATCCCTACCTGCTCAGCCTGGGCTTACTCCATGCATGCCAAACCTAGCTAATGCTTCCATTTTTGACAGATGCCGAGTCTGACAGGCTGTTCGCACTGGCCAAGAATACCTCCAGGGCGCTCTACGACTACTCAATCACAGGCGACGTAAAGATGATGTTAGCGGTGCAGCGCCACCTAATGGCTGTTCAGGACGACTTTGGTGACACGTAGGTTTTATCAGTTTTCTCAAAGCCACAAATGAGACTACACAACAAAATTAAGCCTGATAATGGTTATTAGGCACGGTCATGACAATATTCTACCTGGATTTAAACAAATAAATAAATTTCTCGTTCCTGTCCGTTTTTTCATTTTTGCCACTTTATATTTTTGCCAGTTTTTAAAATATTTTATTTTAATGTTTTTGTTTCTCAATTATTGCAGTCCTTCAGTTGAATAGCATATTTACTATGACTGGTCTTCATGTTCCTTTACTTTGTCCTGTGTAGAGCAAATTTTGATGTTACTAGCCTAGTGACAAGATCTAAAAATAAGTTGATAAAAAGTTTTCGATTTCTTGTTTGCAGATGTTTACATATGTCAATTATTCATCAGGAGTATGAGGTGACAAAATCATTGTTAACCATTATTGCGTCGATGCCTAATCAGGATATTATCAACATGCCTAACGATCTTAGACAGGTAAGTAAAATGAGAACATTTAATTCTCCCTGTTTGTATCTGTATGTATCTGTTACATGTCATAGTTAAATCAAGTGGTGCTGTACTTCGACTGCTGCCAGGTCCCCAGGGACCCAATTCAACACACTTCAGAAACACATGAAGCTTCATGTGATTCCTGGATTACAGTAACAAGGTACCTACATATACTCCTGGTGAAGACAACCTGTTTAAAGTAGCCCTTTTATATGGAGGCTACGAGTCTTAGCTGTGGACCACATTCTTCCACATCATTTCATCCATTATATTGTACTTAGTGCGCAACCTATACATGGCATTTTCTTAGGTTCACAGAAATTTTCCAGAACTAATTTTAAGGTCGGAGAAATCAGAATTTGGTTTCTTACCTAAAAGGAAGTGAATACAGTATTTGCAGGGAACATAGTGTTTGAAGGGAACATATGCTCTAAGGTTACAACTAGGGAGCCCTCACCAGTCTAGATGTGTATAATTTACATATAATACATATATTATATAAAATAAATGTAGTACCGTAATTGCTGGGATAAGCGCCATGGTGCTTATAAAATTGTTGGCGGCTTCAGTGTGGTGCTTATTCTATCATAGACCCTACATCATCGTAAATAAACATTTATTAAGATATGCTTGTGTCGTCATTGTGTTATTTATTCATTTGAACACTGTACACATTGTATTTATTTCCCTATTTCTTAAAGTGTTTCATTGCATACAGGCGCTTATTCACATGAAATTAAGTGCTACGGTGCTTATTCGAGAGCGGTGCTTATTCCAGAGCGGGGCTTAGTGAAAAAAATCATGTTTGGTGCGGCCCTTATTCGAGTGCGGTGCTTAATCGAGAGCGGCGCTTATTCGAGCATTAACAGTAATCCAAATTTAAAGGCAAATATAATATAAAGTAAAATAATTTGGCCAGCTTCCAAGTCCTTTCCCGCCTTGAGCACTTATAGTGAATATGCTCGCTATATAAATCATTTATATTATTATGCTTGAAGCTTTCAAATTTCAAAATCTTCCCCTTTGCATGATAAAATGCATCTCACACAATAAATTAATATAAAAGAGAAGAAAATAAGTGACTTCCCTTTATTCTTGTAATAATCTTGATTAAGGCAGATATAGTCCAAAGTTAAGAAAAATCCACAGTATAATTTGGCAAGCATTCAAATTTGCAAGTCTCTCCAGTCTTCTTGTGCACACTTGAACACTAGAAATTAATGTACCAGCCAAACAAATGAGGCACTTCCCTTATTCTAGAAATCCTGATTAAGACCAATGTAATTCTGAGTATAAAGTAAGTTGGCAAATAATTATAAACAGTCTGCTCACTTGAATAACTGAATTGTAACTGATTAGAACAAAGATCAACATATGCACACCTGTAAAAACCACCAGCTAAATGCAAATAAGTATGTAAATGTATTAGCCTAATGAATGATTACAAAAATTTAATTGAAAACTTCTAGAACTCACTGTATTAGAGTGAAGACTGAAAAACAATATAACACAGCATACATGTTTTATTTTTATTTTTATTAAATATTTATAAGATTTATATAGCTCACATATCCATTTCTGAAAACTTGTACTGGTATAGACATTTAAAATTTGATTTATAAAGCACAGTTCTTTTCCTTGGTCATTGAGTCCACGTGCTTTAAGCATTGCTGCTGGTAATCAGCACAGGAGCAGGCAGCCCCACCAGGTATCCATTTATACTCCTGTGTGGAGAGAAGCAATGCAGATAAAGTGCCTTGCTCAAGGACACAAGTGAAATGCTCAGCAAGGGAGTGAAACCCCGACCTCAAGGTTGAAAAAAACCAAACCGTTCCCGCTACACCAAACCACATCCGCAAAGTAGCTGCTCAAGGTGCTTTTTTTCCCCTAGTTACAGAATCAATCATACACAACAAGCGAGCTCTTTTGCTCCCTGGGGAGGATCCTTAGTTATTATGCTTGTAGTTCAGCACTATTAATATTCTGAATCATTCACCTCCTACTAGGTGCCCATTATAACATAGATAATGTGCTTTGTCTAAGGACACAAGCAGTGTGACAAGCATCAGTAGGAAGCTTTCAATTAGTTCAACGACGTGACAATAGAACGGAATCACTCATGCGTGACCGTCCTACCGGGCATCCCATGTTGTTTGCATACATAGATTTGGCCAAATGCTTCTTAGAATCCACACGACAAGGAGAACTTAACATTCTCGCATGCTCAGATGACTTTTAGTGACATTACGTTCTACCTTCATCATGCAATCGAAACCTTCCTATTTTCATACTCACAACTTTTCCATTGGCAATCCAACACCTTTCAGATAAATTGCGACTACTATAGTAAAATGAAAGCAGCATAGCTTAATAAATAACGTACAATGTGAACTTGACCTAAATATTTTACATAAAAAGCTTAATAAATAACGTACAATGTGAACTTGACCTAAATATTTTACATAAAAATTCAAAATTGTAATAACAGTAAAGTTGATTGGAGACAAATTTCAGTAACACTGTGTCTTCTTTTCATTACAAGACACCTTTACATCTGGCCGTGATCACAAACCGACCGAAAACAGTTGAGCTGTTAATGGACAAAGGAGCTGACCCAGACATCGTGGACCAACATGGAAACACAGCGTTACATCTCGCAGTCCAGCATAGCAGCATCAACTCTGTGTACGCCCTCCTTCATGACTCGAAGCAACCAGCGACCTCAGCAAGGAAACAACCAGATGTCAATACTGTCAACAATGATGGTTAGTTTGTGCTTTTTAAATGTATCTAATTAGAGTGATAATTCTGATCACTTGACTATCTCTAACCTAGATTTTAAGATGGAAAATATTTTTTTGTTATTGCCATATTTTTTTAAAACCACTGAAATACAAACTTGTAATCAAGAATGAGAACCTCCCTGCATCAGTAGATTAAGCTCCAATATGAAGGAGAGTTTAAATTGAATAACCAATGATAAGCCAAAATTGAAACTACTACAAAGTATTAATGTTTTAAGCTGGAAACGATTCACTCCAAATCTCAATCCTATACTACTGAATAAATATTAATTATTAACAAAATTAATGTTCAACCATCCTATAATTTACCTGGAATTTTATATGTATTTCGGATTCACTCCAAATCTCAATCCCATACTACTGAATTAATGGATGAGTATTAAAGAAATTATTGTTCAACCATCCTATAATTCACCTGGAATTTTATATGTGCTTCATTTTTAAATTTTATTTTTTTCAATTACAATGGACGAAATACATCACCAAAGAAAAAGAAAGACAGGCCCATAATGCATTGTACGGTCACCTGCTGATTTGATTTGTTTGCCCTTAATTTATTTTTCCAAGACTACTCATCAGGTGGAATAAAATAAACTCACAGTTGACATTTTGTAGGCCTAGAATGGCAATATCAGACAATAATTTTAATAATTTTAGACAACTTTGTTAGGGCATCTGGCAAAAAATAAAGATCAGTTCACTCACATTTATTTTTTAATCTGTAAAGTAAAAAGCTAAAACAAAAAACTTTTTTTAAGTTTTATTGTTTTGCCAGCCCTTATTTTTATCAGTGAGTTAGGGGCAAGTGAGGAGGGCAAACAAACAATTATGGTTTTTTTTTTTTTTTAGGCCTTGTCGGTGGCAGGCCAAGTGGATTGCCATTTAATATAATTTATTGTGCCTGCTTTGTGTTCCCCTACGGAGTCTGTTGATTGATGACTGTTGACTGCAGTGTGTGTTCAGCTTAAGATCGCTTTATAATTATTTAATTTGTATTTTAGGTTATGCTCCTATCCATCTTGCCTGTAAAAATGGAAGTCTGAAGTCCTTGAAAGCCCTCTGTCATGCACACTGTAATATCGACATACAGGTGAGAACGAAACCCTATAATAATTCTGTTGTTAAGCCCTAGCCGCACTATCAAATTTTGTTAGTTTTATGGCCATAAACAGTAATGATGTGGTGTCATCACAACCGTATTTGTCACATGTTTATTGTTAAATAGAATTTGATAGTCTGGACACAGAATTAGCCTCCCTAAATAAGCATGGCTTTGAGGGAAGCTTTCTCATTAGGGATAGTTTAAGTACCTCTTTTATTGACTCCGTAAGATTAAAGCATTTCAGTCCAGTTTTTTTTTTTACCAAGTATTATCTCTCTGGAACATATTACAAATACAAATACTCTTTACTTAGATGAAATTCGACTTACAGATCAATAATGGAAAATGCAACAGTTTGGCATGTAAAATAAGATCGACTTAGAAATAAATCTACTTAGGCAAAGTCGAATTAGGGAAGTTTAACTGTATAAATATATAAACAATCGGAATTCCCTCATATTACCACAATTTACCATAGTGTCAAAAATGCTATAGATCCACTGCCTTTCTCTGCTGTTATTATGTATACAAGTGCAATGATCACCACACTGTTGAGGCCAGTACTCACTACAAGGTATATGCGTACAGGCAAAGAAAAATGCATTTGATTGGTTTAAAGCTTTTAAATTTTCGGAATTATGAAAATGCCTAGAAAGGAGTGATACATTATTCACAGTTTAAATTTCAATGTTTTTAGGATGGAACAAGTGGATACACACCATTACATTTCGCTGTAGAAAATCAAGACTTTGGAATTCTGGGATATCTTCTGCTTGACACAAACGCCAACGTTCACGAAGTCACGTTCAATGGAAACACTCCCTTACATCTGGCCGCAGGACGAAACCTTGTTGCTGTGGCAGCACTGCTCTTAGCCTCTCATGCTGATCCTCTTAAAGAGAATTATGACACATACATAGACAGCTCTGATTCGTCGGATGATGAGGATGAGGAAGGCTCGAAGAGGTCAGCCATGGATATCAGTGATGATGACATTTGTGGAAAGACACCATTGGATTTGGCATCAACTGATGAGGTACTGTCATTGGTTTATGTCATATCATAAAATATCATATACTTTATTTCACCATTTCAAATTTACAAAAGCAAACAAAAATTCAAAACAACTCAGCAGTACCTGGTGGGATTGCTGAAAAGAGGGCAATGCTAATCTGTCTAAGAGCTCTTCAGTACCAACCTAGAAACATTTGCATAGTCTTTCAATCATACATTAAAAAGTTTTCATTGATTGGCAGAGGCATTCCACCTAAGAGCTCTCACTGGTTAAATCCAGAGGCCCCGGATGCTTAAAGGCTTGGGAATATTATTGAGCATTCATTTTTCCAGGGGAACATAAGCCCCAAAACGTCTGAGCTGGGCCCTTGATAAGCAGAACGTGGTCAACATCAAATACGCTTCTAAAACGTCAATATGCCTAAACTGACGAAAAAGTTCAACCTATACCCCAGGGTGGTAGGAACCGCATAGAAGCCTAAGGTAGTGGCATCAAGGCTCTTTTTATTATGACGCTGTTAATTGACAAGGAGAGTCGTGGGCAGTATCCCTTGGAATCGTACCTTATAATAAACAATTGTTTTGTGTTCTACAGATGAGACGCTTGTTGAATGGTGAACCCTACATTAAGAGCCCATCCAATAAGTCTGCAGAGTTTGAGTTCAAGCTAGGTTTGGAGCTTTCAGACACCTATGATTCCTTCAAGATTGACTCAAGTAAGAAAGAACATAACTACATTATTTATTAATCTGTTGTTTTTTTATGTATCATTTATATCCTTCCATCATTCTGATTATACTCATGCTACTATAGATGGATTGTAACACTGTTATTTAAGAGTTTTTGCAAGCTTATGAAAACGATAACGATTAAGGTTACGTCATCAAATTTTTAGACAACGGTTCCCGTACAGTAGCGTATTTGTCACGATTTATGCCATTTGCATAAATCAAGGATCATATGCAGTTCGTGCAGCATATTGTCAAGAATGTTTTTGGCATTAATGACAATAATGATAGTGACGTATTCATTATCGTTTTTGTAAGGTTGCAAAATCTCCCTACTAATATAATCATTAATATATTGTATTGCATTTAATAAAATAAGACATGCTTAAAGGATCTCGAGCAAAGGGTTAGGAGTCCCTTCTTACTGTTTTACCTCAACTCAATGTTTTTCCTCACTATGTTTTATTTTTATTTGCTCCTGCGCCTCGTTGCTTTTAGCATTTTTGCTAATTTTCAGTTTTTGTATCCACACTCCTGTGTCTTTCAAAAAATATAGTTCACTAAATAAAGTGTGTTATAACAAATTTGCCTTATATTTCAATACTGTATCACAGGCATGACATCCCTTTGTGATCCTATAACGCTGGATAAGCTAGCCCGACTACTTGACCAGAATGAGACATGGGCTGATGTGGCAAATAGGGTTGGTCTTGGGAACATCATCAGCTGGCTTAAACAGGCTGGTAGCCCAACTAGAGATTTACTATACCATTTTGAGGTAAGGTTTAACACGTTGACTGCCAGACCTTTTTTTTTAAGGTTCCTTCCCATGTGCCAAAACAAGTACCTGTATACATGTACAAACATACTCTTTTGAAATTTTATCTAGTCATACATTATATCATCAAAATGGTGTGTCTGATAATTTGGCGGGAAAATATTAGGGGACGAGTAAAATCATTCTTGGCGTTGGGACAGTACATTTTATTGCCTCTGCCAAGTGCGAGTTTTCTCGTCCACTTTTTTGCATGGATTGGTATATGTTCAGAGGGCGCCCCCCCCCCCACACATGCAATCAGTTGTACTGCCGGCAACATATCACAACAAACATACATATGTATATCCCCCGAACTATCAGCCGTTAAGGCTGTGGTTCTACAGTGTATAACAATGAAGTAATAAGCACTAGAATGTTACCCCGGTTTTCAAGAGTATAGTCTTCCCTAGCGCCATCAACAACACCAAGTGTGACGAGTATACTCGTCGCTGGCAGAGAACATGTTAATTTTCACATGATACATGGTATATTCCCAAAACGATTGATAGATTAATAGATTAGATGGAAATAGATTAATGGATTGCTTGATTAATTGATTATTGATTAATTGATTAAAAATGTAAGCGCCTTTAAAATAGGGTGAGATGCAGCCAGTTTTTGCTTTTTTACCTCAATTGTTTTTTCCTTTTTTTTTTTTAAAGAGAATTGATGGTACAATGGAAGAATTGAAACAGACTCTGACCGTTATGGGTAGGACAGACGCTGTTGAGATTATTGACGACAGGTCACTGACATTCGTCGGATCATCTCTTAGACCATCGGTGAAAGACTCGCGTCTCGACTCAGTGAAGGATTCTGGGATATCAGAAGATCTTGTAGAGACTTTGAGATCCATGTCAGTGAAGGCAAATTAGGTCAAAATTTGTATTTGGAGGTTGTGTTGCCATCTCGCAGACATTTCTGCTCGTTCTAATCCCTGCCCTATCTTTCTTCATGTAGAAGCTTTGGAAATTGTCTATTTGTGTGTGGATGTTATAATATGGCTTATGATAATTTGCATATCAATTTGCATAATATGAATATTCATTTCCAACAGATGAGGATGTTGTGCACATAGCTTAGGTTGTGAATGTTAATAATTTGCACAGTATGGTCATTTACATATTAATTTAATTTGTTATTCAATTGGCCTCTATAGTCATTTGCTTATAAAATTGCGTAATGTAAGAATTTCCATCTAATTAGATGAGGATATATAAATGGCCTTTTTTCATTTGTAAAAAACAGTACAGTATGTATGATGTAAGAGTTTTCATGAGATGTGAATGTTACGTAAATGGTTATGGTCATTTACTTAATCATTTGCATATATTCATTAGAATGTGAGGAGAGTTTACAATGGATGAAGGTTGTATATATGGCCAATGGACCATTTGCATAATTTATGTGCATGTCAAAACTTCCTTCAGATAATGATTTGCATAACCATTTGTATCATTCACATAGAAAAAGGATTTCCATTGGATGAGGAGTAAATATAAATAGTTTGGCTTCTAAACATGACTGGCAGTGGATTGGTTTCAATCCTTTGATGAATTACATCTATGTAGCTAAAATGTCTTAATTCATCTGAAAAAAAACAAAACGGGTGTTTTGGTGTTAGAAGCCTGAAAATTTCATTTTGTTGTATTAATATTTTTATATTGCAGTTTAATACTGTAACCTACTATTTTGTATACATTGCTAAGATTCAGATATTTCAATACAATATGATTCGTTGACAATAAATTGATTTTTTTTTTGTAATGATGATTTTTATGATTATGATGGAAGCATGTGACGGAGCATGTATAGTGTCAGCTTTTAATTAAGAAGTTGTGGGTTCAAGACTGACGCTAGTCACACTGCTTGTGTCCTATCTAGATTTGCCTCTCTTCACCCAGGAGTAAAAAATGGGTTGGGTACCTGGTGAATGATTTGGAATAAAATTGGAAGTGCCGTACATGTATAATTAGGATTACTCTCCGCGGAGCGGAGGTTACACATTTACATTATTGACTACATCTAATAACCAGGGCAAATCTTCATATTGGACAAGAAAACACTATAATAGATAAAATAAATAATGATGAAATTTATCATTTAGTCTATTATTTATATCTTTTAATCTTTTCAAGTTCTTCTTTGATTGCTTTGTAAATTGATTTATTTTGAAATTCTTAATTGGAGGGTCTTAGGCCAAAATTTTTAGCAAATTTGCTTGACTTTAATGTACACAGAGTGTAAATACAGCAAATAGTTTCAGTGAGTTTAATCACTGGTTTAGTTAATAGTTAAAAAACTGTACAATTCTTAATCTTGATGTACTGTAGTATATAGTGTGATGAATTATCAACAGGTGATTTACAAAAGTTTAAGGGATGCTGAAAATATATCCCACACCCCTTCCCTTCCCAAAAACCCGCTAAATCAACTAAATTAACAAAAATGTACCAATCCTGGTATTGCTATTCTTGTAAATAGAAAGCCGTAGACGGTGCAGTGTAGCAGAAATTTAATGCCTTCTGTACTCAGAAGTCAAGAACTCGCAATCCTTTCCAAACTCACGTTGTGTGCATATAAGATTCTCAAATATTTAGAATAGTGCTTTCCATCGACTCAGATTAATTTTTTAATGTTTGTGAGATTTTTCTTGGCAGATAGAACCACGCTAAAAAATAACTAGATTTGTATGCTCTGACCCGTCTTGGCCAAATTTCGTGTTTTTCAACATGAGAATACAGTCCACATCTTTTCCTATAATATGACTATATTCATAAATGAATTTAGATAATTACCCACATTTAATGTGACTGTAATAACTTGTATATATTATTGGAATCAATTGAGTAGATGTATTGTTTGGTGTATTAACATTTATAGATATATAGATATACTTATTAACAATGTCTCTCCTGTGTAAACAAACGTTTGTGCAGATTTTTCTCAGATTTAAAAATATTGGTTTAATATATTCTCATAATTCGTAAAACACGTTTTTGTGATTATGTTTTTCTCTTGCTTATTTAGACACAGGAATGAATTGTCATGTGTGGATATTGGCTGGAATGATACTTTTAGATGCTTTGCACACTAGATTTGGTTGAGCTATATAGATGGGGGTTGGGCTTAGTGTGTGTGGTACATCATTTTATGTAGGTAACTTGTATGGTTTGTCATCAAATGTTTCCTATCCTCCATAGCTCTTTAACAATTTATCCAGGGCCTTGCTACCTTCGTCTAGTGTGCTTTATACATTTATTTAACGCGATTTGAAGTTAGATTTAATAAATACAATTTTACTCATGTGGAGTAGAAGTGTTATTTTTTGTTCCAGAGTGTTGTTATTTGATAGATATTTATAAATTAAATCTACCTGATTTGGGTGCAATTGCGGTTAAAAAGTGGGTACTGGTAGACAACATCACTCTAGGCTTTGTGCAGATGGAGATAAAGGTCACTAAAGATGTTGATTGTTTATTATTACTATCATTTATGAGAATACTGTAATTATCAAGTTAATACTGTTTATGGTTTCTCTCAAAAGATGAGAGGTTGACAAGACAAGAAAATATATAGTTCCCCACGTGGTTAAACACAGGAGTGTGCTTTTTCTTTCTGGATGCCCTTCCTGCAGTGGCATATCTAGAAGTCTTGAATTGGGGGTGCTGATGGGGGAGCGAACGTGAAGTGGGGGGGGGCGGAATCAATTATCAGTTGAGGGGCGCTAATTCGCAAAATAAGGAGATTTTCAACTACTTGACTGATTTATGGGGCAACGACTGGGGGAGCGCAAGTAATTTTTTGGGGGGTTGTGTGCTCCCTCGCACCCACTAGATACGTCACTGCCTTCCTGTAAGTATTTGGATCCGCTCCAGTACTCGCATGGCAGCTTTTTTGCCAAATTTCCAATTTTCGGCCCATAGTCATCAACAAAAATACTAATACTGTACTACAATATACAGTAGAGTGTAATAGTCGACCGTTTACCTGAACACACAGATCTAGTCTGTCTTGAGGGTTTCATCGGGCTAATAGGTGAATCAGAGTGAATTAAAGTAATGACAGCTATGCTCCTTTGAGAAGGTCGACTTGTTCAAGGGCCTATATCATTACATATGCATACATACATAATTGTAAACCCATGTACAGGTGCAGTACATTTACCGATACAGTATATATATAATAAATAATATATGCATATAGGCATATATTATACATACAGTGGTGAATTCAAGGGGCCCACCGCCGAAAGCGGCACTTATTTGAGCATTTTACTGTATTGAATATATGTACTGATTGCACCTGAGCCAATTGTGCACACCAATATCCAGGAATTTGAAATAGAGGGGCCCCATAGAAGGACCTTCACAGATGGAGGGTTCTGTACTACCTCAGCCCCGCCATAGTAGTTGAGGTAAGAAAATTTATGATTATGGCACCTCTAGGTGGCAGGAAATGGCACTCTTACAGGTTGGGGGGGGGTTTCCCAGGCCGGCTGGGCCCCTTGAATCTACCAGTGAATATCTCTTTCTCGATAATTTTATGTTTTACACATACATAACCTTCCTTTCTCTCACTTTCTAATAAATTACTCTAATAATACAAGCGTAGAAATTGTATTGTACAAATATTCATTTTTTATTTTAAACTTCATCCATAGTAATATAATACATACAATAATTTAAATATTTTTATTAAACAATTTTTAATACTTTCCACCAGGATTGTGCTTAATTCAAAATGCTCATTTTGCACTTTCCCTTAAGCAACTGCATTCTTATCACTACATTTGAGAACAACCAGGTAAAGTTCCATGTATACTGCATGTAATCTCAATTTAATTTAATTTCATTTATTTGACCAACATTTACAACTTCAGTGACAATGAAATACAATATGTGAACAAAAATAGGTAGGTAGGGGTAGCTTTAGCAGAGTAGCCAGCAACCACTTAACATGATTTGTCATTCAAGTCTCGATTGATTCATTTACAATAATTATGTCACTTGACTTAATATAAATATCCGTTACATTGAACTTTTCGCCACCATATATTACCTACTGAACTACTGAATAACTACTGTATCACCAAGCTAGAGTCATTCAACAAAATGTCACTTTGGATCTCAACCATTAGGCTCTGCTTTCAGGCCTGTTTACACTATAATAACGATCAACGATAAAAAGCAAAATTTAAAAATTACGTCTATTCAACATTTTTCAGCTTACAGTAAGCTGAAATATAGTTTTTACAATGTAGAATCAAAGTTTAAAATGTGTTGTTTTTACCCAATTATACCCAATGTTTAGTCAACGTTAATGAATAAATGTCAAAAACTGGTTGATATTTAAAATTATAATACAGTAGGCCTGCTGCATACATTCAATGTTTAAAATACTTTTTTTTCAAACAAATATAATTTTTTTCAACATTAACTACGAAAATCAATTTGAGATTTTAACATTACAATTACAATGTGCATTCAACTGTTTTCAACGTCAAGTTTTTTTTTATTTCTATGTAAAATCATCGTTGGAAAAGAGGTTTTTTTTTTATTCAACCAAGTACCAATTGTATAATGTTATTTCAATTTTAAATAAACAGTGGTTAACATTTTTAAAAGTATGTAGTAAGAAACTTATATGGTATACCACTACAGTTCAATTGGTTGGACAAGAAAAGATCCGACTGTGGACAGTAGCGCTTCAAATAATTTTATCACCAAGAAAGTTAAGATTTTAACCAACCTGAGCTGTAACGCGAAAGATTCTTGATTAAGCTGGAGTTTGCAATATAATGGGGTCATGGAATTTCCAAACCCACCATTACTACCAAGATGATGAACAGCAATTCTACCGAAGAACAAGAAATTTCTAACTGGGATCTCAATGCGAACACAGGTTTTCTTTTATGAAATAGTTAATAATTATTTCTTTGTAGTATTTTGAAGAGTGAATAGAAGCAAGACAAGGTAAAGCTTACTAAATTCTGGAATCGTTTCCAAAAATCTACACTTGTACGAAGGCGAGTCGAAGATACACTGTTGTTACAACTTTCACCATTTTTACAAAAGGCTATTTAATCGCTCTACATGAGGCTGTATGTCCCCATCAAACTCGACCAATTGTACTCGGTCCTAGGATACACCTGACCTGAAAGTATTGACGAATACGTAATACTTTACCAAGATCATAAACAGAAATCCTACCGAAGAACAAGAACTTTCTAACTGGGATCTCAATGCTGACGCAGGTTTTTTGTTTAGATTTTGTTGAGTAGTCTCAACTACTATAGCAGAATTAGAGCTTTTACTCATTTTTCCAGATTGAATTTCAGGAATTGTTTAAATAGGCAACAGGCTGATCCTAACGAAGAACGGTTAGATAACAAATTTTTCGAAGATGAACTGGTAACCCGTTGCAATTTATTTCTTATTTTTGATGCTAATACTTTTCACTTCATGGAAGGAAAGAGCAAACACAAAAAAGGTGACACTAATGTCTTCTGTTAAGAGGCGGACAAGGGAAAAACATGTCTTTCGTAGAGTTACCAAGCCGTGAGCCATTGAACTCTACACACAATACATCGGAGAGGTAGACAAGGCTGACTGATTGATTTGGACAAATCTTCCTATTCACAGGAGCCTCAAATGGTGGAAGAAGGTATTCATTTACCTTATAGAGGTAAGTTGGATTAAATACTCTATTAGCCTATCATTATTTTATTTATTTTTTTATTTTTCAGCCTTCACATGGAAATAAGGGACCCTATTGTGCATCCGAGGACGATGCTGACAAGGGGATATTGAAATGTCGATGTCCATGAACTTTGCAATATAACCAAACTTAGTGATAAGTATAAGAAATTTAATTTATTAGCTAGCGATTACTTAGTTTCTTTAGTAGGTTTAGACAATGTTAGGATAATAGAAATAATACCAACAATTAGGATTTTTGATTACGTTACAGACATTCTTTGTGAAAATAATGATGTACAAGGTTAGGTTCGTTATTAGAGCGAATGATTTAGACATTCCCATTTCTTAACCATTTTGTTTAAGAGAACTCCCAAAGTTATTTTTAATGCAATAAGTAAGGTTTTCCAATTGCAATATTTTAGTAGGGGACGATCATGATAACCATTACGATCTACTAACATTAACCTCCTTTTTCTACGCGGCAATTGTGTGTAATGATTGTCATCGTTTTTTCAAAAATACTAAATGTTTCAATAATCACAAAGCTTCAAAAATGGGGAAAAAACTGTTTGCGATAAGAAAAGAATATGTAATAAAGTGTAATAGATTTATAAAGAAGGATCAATAGTTATGATAGCCCTACAGCCGATTTTTGATGATAGCGAGAGCGACGAAGAGGAGTTACAACGCGAGCTTTTTTAAGGCAGGAACGACAACGACGACGAGCGGTAGAGAAGCGCAAGCAGCAGTAAGGAGGACAATGGCGAAGACAATCCACTTCGGCCTAGAAAACAACGAATGGTGGACAGATTCGAATGGAAGGATCGTGCTTATGACGATGCTTGGTTAGGTAAATTTATACGTTTACTTATATTCAATGCTTATTTGGAACTATTACGGTTTTCTATTCTTCAAACATGTTATTTTATTATTATAATTCTTTTTCAATCGCTTTTTTTTTATTGGATAGTACTGGGAAATCTTTGGGCTTAGACTAGTTCGATTTTTTTAAAATAGGTGTATAGCTTATTTATACCTCTCTCGCTTTTTAAAATTTCTTTGAAAAATTACTTTTGATTAGTTTTTTTTTTTTTTTTAAATTATATTTCTATTGGTTTTAGGCTATTTTGAAATATTTAGTATCATTGTCATAAATTAGACCTTTGCTGTTTTATTATTTCAT